AAAGAAGAGCGAGACGGTGACCGCGAGCTTACAATCAGCGACCTCAACCTAGCGTAGACAACCCCCGGCGCGCTCGTTGTACATATACTTACTACTACTAAAACCTGCGGTCAGGCGCGGATATGTATTCTTCAGACGAAGCGTAGGGATCTCACCAGAGCTTATGCAGTCCCGCGAAGCTCGCGAGATCTGCGGTACATGTACTGCCTGGCTCGATCATCTTGTCGGTTGCGGGATACAGCGAGCGAACAGTAGCAACCGGAGCGTCAAAGCCACTCGTCCGCAGCATCTGCAATGCTACCGCGAGCCGTTGATGCTGGGTAAAGGCGGCAGTCTGCGCGAGTTGCGAGCGTTTGGCAATAGCACACCTAAAGCCTGCCAGAATCACGTGACGCGATCGGAACCGGATTTCATACAGCCGATAAGTCCACGTCCTCCGCGATATCGCCCTCTCTCTGCACATATATGTTCTCACATGTAACCCGTGCCATGGAACTCACAGACCTAACCAAGCAGGCATAGTCTGCCCGAATACGAAGACACCTCACCATCGTATCAAACACTCCACCACCAATTATGTCAGCATCCTTCAACGCAACCGACCCGTCCTCACCCCTCTACTACCTTCCCAACCAAACCGCCCTCCTCCTCCTCGACTACCACGGCTTCATCATCTCCCAGCTGGCCGAAGCCGGAACCGCCGCCTTAGCCACAGCAGCCCGGATGCGCACCTGGGCGCTCGAGAACGGCATCACGGTCGTGCATTGCCTTGTAGACATCCACGCCACCCCGTCAGTAATCTGCAAAGGTGGACCGCGAGTTGCGGCGATGCTGGAGGGACTCAAAGATGATCGCGAGGCCGTCGAGGAGCCGTCGAGCGTGGCGTTTAGTGGTGAGCGGGGTGAATTCATTGTCAGGAAGCAGCCTGGGATTATCTCAGGGTTGCAGTCGCCTGGTGCGATGGAGTTGCTTGGTGAGAGAGGGATCAAGTCGTTGGTTATTTGTGGGTTGTCTACTTCGGGAGCTGTGTTGAGGACGGCGATCCCGGCTACGGACGATGGGTTTGTGGTCAGCGTTATTGGTGATGCTTGTGCGGACAGGAAAGAAGGGATGCATCAGATGGTCTTGGAGACGTTGCTGCCGAACAGGGCGCATGTGACGAACGCTGATAAATTTATTGGGGAGTGGGAGAAAGCGAGTGAGAGAGGAAGATCTTGAGTTGGGTGGAGGGCTAGGTGTGAGCTGTTTCGCGAAA